ACATGAACACATGAACACGTGAACACATGAACACATGAACACGTGAACACATGAACACATGAACACGTGAACACATGAACACGTGAACGGGGGTAAAACCATCTCCATGTCACTTTTATCGTCAGGTGATAAAACCAATATTTTGTTTTTAAGGACAGAAGGATCAGAGACGTCCAACACCAGATCAGAAACATAAAATAACAACGAGACAGAAAAATGATCTGTTCAAATGAAAACGTTTAAAGRCTGAAGTGTGTGTAGTCCAGCAGCACAGACCCACAGTGGGAAAAACAACCAACAAACGCTAACAGCTGACATGTTTGACTCCTGATCCAGGCCTGAGTTCTAAAAGCTTAATCTGAGCAGGCATTTATAAAGGCAGTCCCACGGGGTCCTCCACTGTCCTCCACAGCCACTTGAAGGGAGCGCTCCATCAGCAGGAGCACTTCATGAGGGCAGAGAGAGCGGGCCGAGCTCAGACCACAGCAGTTAGTCAGGCTGACGACAGCCTTTAACTCTTTAATCTGTGGCTCAGGATGGGATTATTCAGCTGATGAARCTCAGCAGCTTTATTCAGCTTTGTTTGGATAAAGTTCCTCAGATGAGAAGAAAAGAGATGCAATAAATACTTTGTGCACGGTGTGATGATGCAGACAGAAACATTGAGTTGGACGTTTCAGAGCTTTGTAACATGATGTGGTGAGATGATGTCATCACGTGATGAAACGTCTTTCACACAGGAGCAGCTGCTTCAGGGCTTTGAAGCTCCAAACATTTCATGTCTTCCTTWAAATCCAAACAGAACAGCTCTACTGAGGTGTCATGTGATCAATCAGCAGCAGCTCTCATTGGTCACCAGGCTGTTCTTTCAGAAAGAAAAGGTTCATTTTCTGAGACTTTCATTAAAACAAGTCCAGCTGATCAAATATTTTGCTAACACTAGAAGGAATCAGACAAACTGCTGCGTACACACACACACACACACACACACACACACGAAACCCTCAGTGTTTTATCTTTAGCAGCAGGTGATAATAAGTGTGTGTTAATTTTCTGCAGCACCATGTTTCACACCTTCTCTGCTAACAGATCTGCTTCACATGGTTGAGCAGAAATTAAAGCTCCTTCATGCTCATGTTGCTCAGTAATCAGGAGGAACCAGCAGCAGCTCTACACTCACTGGGCTCAACAACACAACATCAAGCAGCTACTGGACATGTTGGACTCACTTGTTGTTGAGTGGGAAATAAAACGCTCTCCTGCTCTTACTATCTTTATCATCGCTGCACTCTCCACCTACACATGGATCCAACAAGTTTCTGCCTGTTTTCTGACAAACACAGGGTCTCATTTCTCTCCTCTTTGTTCCTGTTCCTAACAGCAGGACGCTGAGACCCCCTGTCCCTCAGACACATTCAGGACATGTCTTTAAATGTGTGGACACTGAGTACGGGCTGTCGTTTGTAAAGTTACAGTCAAAAATTAACACCAATATTTCTGTTTTATTTAGACTTTTATAAGAAATAAAGAACAGATTTATTTTTCAAAGTCAGTTTTTCACCATATGA